AACTTTGAGTTCCATGTTCTCAAAGTTAAGAATCTCAAATTTATATATAAAGGATTTTATTTAAAAAATTGGTAAAGAAATATAAAATATAATGTACATATTTAAAAAACATGTCAAAAGTCCTGTACTTGTACAAAAAAAACGGGAGATAGCAATATTTTTATCAAATTAATGAGCAATAAAAAATACATATAAATAAATAAAAGTTATCGTAATTTTTGAATAGTTGACAGCAGAGAGCCAGAGACTTCCACAATTATCTTTTACTACTTCCATTTTTATTTAATTATCTGTTTTGCTTTGTGTATCAAACATTTGACTAACTATATATAAAAATATACAATGAATTAAAATATAAAAATTATACCAAATTATTGGAGTCGAAAAATACTTTAAATATATTATTTTTTAAAATAAATTACTAATATATTAAAGAGATATTGTTGGTCAAAATTTAAGTTCAAAAAATAGACAAGACACTCAAATCAGAATGAAGAGATCAGAGTATGTTCCAAAATCATTCTTCATTTTTTTTTTGCAAAGTAAACTTTCATTGCTCATGTTTTCGCACATATTTATTCTCGACAACAAACAATAAATACTCCGCATTTAATACTCCTTTTGTTGCATTCTCTTTCATTTTATCACAAATTTCAACTAAATATTTTACTTTTTATAATTTCGTTAAAATCATAATAAAAAAAATATTTACAGCTGAAAGGATTACATTTTACTTCACTTTTACAAAAAGAACATATGTTAATAAAGAAAGAAAGGGAATATTTGAATAATATATTCCCATATATTTTCGTATATATTGTTTTTGGTAGTTTGCTTGTATAGATATTTGTTTCCTTTGTTGATTAGGATTCTCAGCCTGTAAGAACCTATACATATGACTTCTTTGTAAATTGTAAACAGAAGAAATAATACAAGAGAACTTTCTCCCAATTAATTCTTTCATGGTATCATAGCCGCCACAAACCTAGAAATTTCCGAGACCACTGTTCACGATCGCCCGGCATCACGTCCATCGATCATTGCTCAGTTTCTTCGTTGTTGCTGTTGTTGTCGAAGAACGAAATGGTCGACCGTTGTTGTAGAACAGTCAAACACATCGACCGTCCCGTCGACAGTTTGTCTTGGTGCTGTTGCTTCGTTTTTCCCTTCGACGAATAATCACCTGATATGACTCGGGAATCAGCCATGGAGATTATTTCCAACAAGAAAATGAGGAAGAAGAGAAAAATGGATTTTCATCGTTCCCCGATTTTGAGGATCTGACTCTGGAGCAGTGGAACGCTGTTCGTCACGCCCTTGCACTGTCCCCTACAGACACCAATCAGAAACTTACAGGTATTTCTGTGTCACCACGTTGGATTATTGATACGGGTGCATCAAATCATATGACAGGTGATGTTTCATTATTGTATGATGCGGTGGGTTTGACTCCATGCGAAATTGGGTTACTTGATGGAAAACGAGTAGTATGATTCTGTTCAATCTGGAAAGGTTGATTTGACAAGGACTATGACATTGTGATACGGGTTTATATTTAGTTATTTACCATTATTATTATATTATTATTATATTAGGTAGTATCATTATTTATGGTTAGTTAATTATATTATTATTAGAAAGTAGTATTCTATTATTAGGATATTTGTTACCATTTATAATTAGGATTCCTTGTTTATTTAGTTTTCTTCTACGGTATGGATTCTTTAGGGTTGCTAGCTATATATGTATCCATTTCAAGGAATTATGAAAAAATGAATAAACAATTTACTTTCTCCTAAACCCCAATCTCTCTCTCTTTCTTGCCTCTTTTGTTCTTGGAGCTCGGAGGTGCTCGAAATCCTTCCCTATCCTGATACGATACCGTATCAATTGGTGCTCTCATTCATGAACTCATTCAAAAAAAAATATACAAAAAAATCAGCCAGAAAATTCAATTCAATTTTTGTGTGGTGGAGTTTCTTTTGGCAATGGATTCACTGTTGGACAAAGTTCTTGGTTTACTCGAGAAAGTTCTACGGGGACAAATTGAATTTTATGAAAGCGTGTGTGCAGTTGAAGATTCCGTAGATGAAATTATAAAGAAACTTCAGGCATTTCGTCAAATTGAAGGTCAACCAAAATATGATTCCGAGGTATATATGCATTCGCCGTAGAGGTCTATTGCTCAATCCAGGATTTAGTTCATGGTCCTCCAATTTTACCAAGTTTGATCCCGATAGAATTACACTTGTTCAAAATAAATATGATGAGCGTGATAAAGAAACTCATCGGTGCTCCACTTTCTTCACCAAATCTAGCCCCTAAGGCTGGGGACCTGATTGTCCAGATCGTGGAAGACACAGCCGCACACACTAGTCCTCTTGTGGAAAATTTGAGCAATGAACCACATGTCGAAGATGACATTAAAAGTGGGTCCAATGTCCTGGGTACCAATAAGTCACTCACGATGGAGGAAATTGTTGTTCATCCGGTAGGTATTTTCGATGATGCTTTTGTTATTGTTACTGATCCTGTTCCTACAAATAATGTTGATGGGGAAGACCACCGAGATCATATTGTCCAGGCAAAAATTTCAAGTGATGATGCCATTTATTATGAAAGCGTAGAAAAATATGGGATGTCACAAAGTGAAGTTGTTGTCCTTTATAATTCTGAGGATGTTGCACGTGATTGCATAATATTTCCACTCTTAATTGGCCAGAACTGTTTACTTGATATTGGGAATGTTTTAGGTGTGACTCGTTCTTTTGGTGCTCCAAGGCTCAAGGTGTTTGACCCCGGTGGATGGACAATGAACAGTGTAATTTTTTCCCGTTCTTTATTTGATTTCCAACTTGAGGACAAGTTGGTTTTTGAGGCGGGAAGAGTGATACGGGTTTATATTTAGTTATTTACCATTAGTATTATTATATTATTATATTAGGTAGTATCATTATTTATGGTTAGTTAATTATTGTTAGACACTAATACTAATAGTACTTCTTGTAGTATTGGTTATGGTAGTGTTTCATTATTAGTCAGCTTCTTAATCCTATTTGTGGTAGATGTTGTATGTTATTTAGTTTCCATTCTCTATTCCTAGTTGTGTTAGGAATCTCTCCTATATATACTCTATCATTTACTTCATAATTCAAGGAGCAATATTATTATTCCAATATTTCAACATGGTATCGGAGCCACCGCTCTTGGTGACCTAAAAAAAAAGATCTTTGCTCCCACGTCCCGCCGCCGCCGCCGGTATTTCTGGCGACGGCGGCTCCACCCTATTCAACTCTATTTTCTTTTCCTTCTTTATCCTCAAATCAATTTCTCCATTCAAATGAAAAAAAAAGAAAAAAAACCTGTGGAAATCACACAAAAAAACTATCAAAGGATAAACTTCTTTCTTCTTATCTTCATGGTTCTTCAAAAAAAAACCAATTCCTCACAAACTCCCTGAGATCATCCTATCTTCTCAAAAAAAAAGGAAAAAGATTGTTGTTTCTCTCCAATTCACCATATCAAAATCTCATACCCAAATTTTTTTTCTATCTCCAATTCTTAACCTACTTTTTTATCTCTAAAATCACTCATTCTAATCATCAACCTCGATCCTTTTTCTTTTGTTGAACCAATAAAAAATCCAAAAAAAAAAATAACACAAAAGCAACGCCAATAGGGGAAGTAGTGAAAGAGGAAAGAATCCTTCTACACCCCTTCAAGAAAGAAATAGGGCATTGCCCGGATCCAAGAAAAAGACAAAGAATGTCAAAGATCTTCAGTCAAACAGGCACCTCAAATAGCCTTCTCTATTCTTCTTCGACGTCAGCAGCTACAAGTGCACGTCAACCTTCTCTGTTCTTCTTCGACGTCAGCAGCTACCAGCACACGTCAATTTCTCTCTTCTTGAACGATGTCTACAACTACCAATGCGCGTCAGACTTCTCTCTTCTCCAACGACGTCAGCAGCAACCGGCATGCGTCACACTTCTCTCTTCTCCAACGACGTGAGCAGCCACCGGCGCATGTCCGACTTCTCTCTTCTCAAAGTTTCNCTTCGACGTCAGCAGCTACAAGCGCACGTCAACCTTCTCTGTTCTTCTTCGACGTCAGCAGCTACCAGCACACGTCAATTTCTCTCTTCTTGAACGATGTCTACAACTACCAATGCGCGTCAGACTTCTCTCTTCTCCAACGACGTCAGCAGCAACCGGCATGCGTCACACTTCTCTCTTCTCCAACGACGTGAGCAGCCACCGGCGCATGTCCGACTTCTCTCTTCTCAAAGTTTCCAGTTTCCAGCTAGTGTCCAAGCTTCCTCTTGCTTCAGCCAGAGTTCATCTTGAGGGGGGATGTTAGACACTAATACTAATAGTACTTCTTGTAGTATTGGTTATGGTAGTGTTTCATTATTAGTCAGCTTCTTAATCCTATTTGTGGTAGATGTTGTATGTTATTTAGTTTCCATTCTCTATTCCTAGTTGTGTTAGGAATCTCTCCTATATATACTCTATCATTTACTTCATAATTCAAGGAGCAATATTATTATTCCAATATTTCAACAATTATATTATTATTAGAAAGTAGTATTCTATTATTAGGATATTTGTTACCATTTATAATTAGGATTCCTTATTTATTTAGTTTTCTTCTACGGTATGGATTCTTTAGGGTTGCTAGCTATATATGTATCCATTTCAAGGAACTATGAATAAATGAATAAACAATTTACTTTCTCCTAAACCCCAATCTCTCTCTCTTTCTTGCCTCTTTTGTTCTTGGAGTTCGGAGGTGCTCGAAATCCTTCCCTATCCCGATACGATACCGTATCACATTGCAGAATGTGTTGTTTGTTTCAACTTTGAATTGCCATTTGATCTCTGTCTCACAGCTGAGGAGGGATTTGAACTGTGAGACAAAGTTCACCAATTATGTGTTCATATTACAAGACATAAGTTTGAGGACAACGATTGGTGTGGGTAGACATGAAGGAGGATTGTACTATTTGAACAAGGAGGAAAGAAGCATGGTGTGCAGTACTAAGAAGGAGAATTCCTTTTATCTTTGGTACAAGCGTCTGGACATCCTTCTTCGCATGTTTTGTCCTTAGTTCCTGTAGTTGGTTCAAATAAAAGTAGTCATAGTCATTGTGATGCCTGTTTACGTGCTAAACAAACTCGCTGACTTGGAGTCTGCTGAAAGAGTACAAGCAGCTCACGGCGGCGTCGTTGACCCTCGTGAATGTGTATCTCCGCCGCTTGCAGTCGCGCTTCCCGTTCCACCTCGGCAGAGCTGTCCCGCGCATCAGCAAAGATAAGATCCTCAAGCTCTCCGGCCTCTGTTATTGATCGAGTCGTCGTCGTGTTTGACCGGACCATGCCATAATAAAAAGTTAGTTCATCCGTGAGGGGAACTCTTCTTGAAAAATAAAAGCCCCTCATTTTCGAGAGGCCACATCTCCGGACACAACCCGTTTGAAAAATAAAATTAAATAATGTGGAGTAATGTTAGGGTGTTAAATAAATTTATGTTCATTATTTATTAGTTCAATTTTTTCCCAAATTTTGTAGAGATGCGCACATGCAAGAATTATCGGTGTGATACAAACAATTATTAATTATTGTGTGTCTATACAAAGTATGTGGTCATGGTAATTCCCATGTTGGGATTATCTAGCTCTATTAGAAGGTAAAAGTTAAAAGTTCACCTAATCATAAATATAGGGTAGACTCCTCCTATAGAGTAATAAATGGTTGTTTAGTTAGTGTTTACGTTGTTTGTGACTCTAACATTGTCCATAGAGTAACAATATGTTTTACTAGAGTTGTGATTTTGTTATCCTAAGAGGGTATTTGAGAGTCATTAGCTTGAAATAAAGTGATTTCTACAAAAGTTTAAAACAAAATCGCCTCATATCTACTTCTCCGAAATGATGTTCTATGTATAAAATAATGGTAAAAAAAAGAAGAATCTGACATACCAAATAGAGTAAAACCACTACCACTCAAAGCAGAAACTAAATTATTTAAAAGCAGTGCGCTGCCAAACACCCTCTAAGGTAAACTTGAGAAATAAAGATCTTTTCACACTTTCATGGGCTTACAAGTAGATCTTTTGCCTTTTACAAAAAGCTCATTTCTTAAATGGTTCGGCTCAATAAAAATCAAAGTAATTTGGTTTGGTAGATGGTTTTATCCAAAACCGAACATGAGACAACGAATTGGATGATCGGGCTGCAACGATTCCAAAGGGAAATAGGCGATTGAGATGTTTGAAGAATCTCTCACCGATTGAAGAGTCCAAAACAAATACTCACTCTGTCCCAAATTTGATTACACATTAGGATTTACAAGATAAAACCGCATATCTTTTGCAATCATTTTATTTACAAATATTCACCGGTTAAGAGTTTTTTGTTTTTCTTCCATTCTAAAAATAAATAAATTTATGTTCATTATTCATTAGGTCATTTTTTCTCAAACTTTACAAAGATGCACACATGCAAGAATGGTTGCTGTGATACAAACAGTTATTAATTATTCTGTGTCTATACAAAGCATGTGTGGTAATGGCAACTCCAACATGTTGGGATTCTCTAGCTTTATTAGAAGGCAAAACCGCAAAAGTTAAAAGTTCACCTAATCATAAATATACGGCAGACTCCTCGTATAGAGTAATAAATGGTTTGTTTAATTTGTGTCTAAGTTGTTTGTGATTCTAGCATTGTTCATAGAGTAACAATATGTTTTACTAGAGTTGTGATTTTGTTATCATAAGAGAGTGCTTGAGAGTGATTAACTTCTGGATATAGTGATTTCTACAAAAGCTGAAAGTAAAAACACCTCATACCTATTTCTCTAAAATGGTGTTCTGTGTATAAAAAAGTGGTGGAGAAAGGAGAATATGACATGCCAAACAGAGTAAAAACCACTACCGCTCAAAGCAAAAGCTAAATTCTTAAAAGTAATGCACTGCTAAATACTCTCTAAGGTAAACTTGAAAAATATGAATCTTTTCACATTTTCATGGGGTTACAAGTAGATTATTTGGTCTTTTACCTAAAGCTCATTTCTTACGGCTTGATAAAAACCCAAATAATTTGGTTTGGTAAATGGGTTTACCCAAAACCGAACATGAGACAACAATGGGATGATAAGGCTGCAATATTTCCAAAGGCAAATAGGTGATTGAGATGTTTGAATAATCTCTCACCGATTGAAGAGTCCAAAATAAATACTACTTCTGTACTAGATTTGATTATAAATTAGGATTTATGAGAAAAAACCTCATATCTTTTGAAATCATTTTATTTACAAATACTCATCGATTAAAATATTTTTTTGTTTTTCTTCCGTTCCAAAAATAAATAAATTTATGTTCATTATTCAATTCATTAGGTCAATTTTTTTTCTCAAACTTTCGAGAGACACGCACATGCAAGAATTTTTGGTGTGATACAGAATTATTATTATGTGTCTATACAAAGCATGTGGTCACAGTATCTCCAACATGTTGGGATTATCCACCTTTATTAGAACGCAAAAGTTAAAAGTTCACCTAATCATAAATATACTCCTCGCATGAAGTAATAAATAATTTGTTTAATTTGTGTATAAGTTTGTGATTCTATCATTATTCATAGAGTAACAATTTGTTTTACTAGAGTTGTAATTTTGTTATCCTATGGTAAATTAGGGAAAGATGGATCTTTTCACACTTTTATGAGTTTACAAGTGGATTTTTTCTCTTTTACAAAAAGCTCATTTCTTAGATGATATTTTTATATTGAGATCCGTAGAATGAGTATAGATTAGGGGTGTTCATTCAGAAAATCGAACCGAACCAAAAATTTGATGATTTATTATTTGTACCAAAAACATAACCGAAATCAAATGGTTTGGCTCGGTAAAAACTAAAATAATTTGGTTTAGTAATTGGTTTTACCCAAAACCGAACATGAGAAACAAAAACATCTATCCATTAACTTCTCTAAATTCAAAACAAAAAAACACAGATTTGATCCATTACATAACATAAAGTTCATAATGTTTTGCAAACATATTTTTGTAACAATTCTCAAATTCAAAAGCATCAAACACGTGGATCTTTATACTTTCATCCTTCTGCAACAATTCCAAAGGCACATTAGGCGATTGAGATGTTTGAAGAATTTCTCACCGATTCAAGAGTCCAAGGCAAATAAGCGATTGAGAAACGAATGGAAACGATATTGCGCGGATACGGCCAAATGAGGCTTGGGCTAATGCCTAATGGGTTGGGCCTTGGGCCATTAGGGCGGGGTAGAAATATACGGAGTACTTGGTACGGAGTGCTCTTTATTTAGGTGGGCTGGGTATAATTACTTATTTGAGTTCCCACTAATTTGGTTTTCAGTACAAACCAAAATACCGATAAATTTTTTTTGAAACTGAATCGGAAACTGAAATAATAAAAATTAAAATAGAAATTTACCTAAATAGGAATAAAACGTTATGACTTTCTCAATATAGGGCCATATATTTTTATTTCTTAATGTAAGACTTTTGATCATTATCAATTAGTCATTATTCAGGTAAATGCCCATCATTACTGCACATTATTTCTCCCACTAGACATTATTAAGTTCTATTTAAGAAATAAAAAAGTTTAAGTCCTACATTAGGAAATGACTTATGTTTTAGTCCTGTAAATTTCACAAATTAAAAACCGAATACCTAACCAATTACGTACTTCGTGTTTTGGTTCTGTTTCGGTACGTACCGAAATTTTGGTTTCGATACAATACGGTCGGTTTGTCGAATTATGCACACTCCTAGTATGGACTGAAGGACCATATAAAAATTTGTCATTTTACCAATCAAGTACGGAGTAAATAATTTTAATTCAGTAAGTATTGATATAATTACTGCTTTACAAAATTAAGACCATTTTTTTAGTTTTTTCTTTCACTTTTTGCTTCTAAGATTAGGGTTGTAAACGGAACGAATCAAAGTGAATTGCGTAATATTTAAATTTGTATTTGTTTAATTTTTTCGAATACGAATACAAAACGAATTAAAAATAAGATCTGTATTTGTATCAGATTAATATTCAAATACTTAACGAATCTTAAACGAATATTCGAACAATCATACTCCGTAACTTATATGTCTATTTTGAATAATTTAACTTACAATTTTTCTTATACCATATCAAAAAATATGAATACATTTGCGTCTTACACAAATTATAATTTATAAAATATACTTCCTCCGTCCCCCTGTATTTGTCCACATTTGACTTTTGGAACTGTTCATCTAAGCACTTTGACTCATCAAATTCTCTCAATGTGTAAGCCTAAATATAGTCATGTGTGATCTTGTTTGATTTGTCTTAACATATAGATTATTAATATATAATTTTTATAATTTTTTAATATACAAATTACAAGATAAAATGAATTAAAGAAGTGCATTGGATGATGTG